TTGTATATGACATATATCATTTATTTTAATGTAGATAATCACCACTTACAGATAGAATCCGGAACAAATAATGGAAACAACAGAAGTTTCCCGAGGCAGTAGACGAAAATTGAAAGTAGCTGCATCTGTAATACTGTTTTTGACCATTGTGTTCTTAATTCTATTTCTTTACTTTCAACTTAAAGGTATATTGTTGGATTTAACAGTTCCATTAGGCAACAATAAGACATTTCACAACATACTTTTTTTCTTTTTTTCTTTTTTTCAATTTTTCGGCACGTGGTTTAGCGTCACTTATCATCATTTAGGTACTTTTTCGGAGAAAGGAAAAGGTATAACAAGGCCACTGTTTGACCCCTTGAACTCAAAACTAATATCCTAAATACATTTTTGTTAATCATTTATAGATTTGTCTCAGATATTTGGATTAAGGCTTCAAATTTTTGAATTCAATGCAAAACTGCAAAAATGTTTGAAATATCCTTATTTTGAGATATTATCATTTATCATTGTTTATATTAAAATAAGATTCACCAAAGTGGAATAAGACTCTGCTGTGAGAAACGTGTAGTTAGTCTCACTGTTTAAACTTCTGTGGTGACATGAATTATCATTGATATGGTCATATTTATAAATTTGCTGTATACATAACTTTGAATTGTTTGAAATACTAATGATTGTGTACCTTAGGAACTGATTACCGTAGCTGTATGTGGAAAAAACATTTCGGAAATTTGGGTCCTAAATATTCACATCGTACATTATTTTGCTTTTTAACTTTTTTTATTCGAACGTCATTGATTGGTCATTTGTAGACGAAACGCAGGTCTGGCGTACAAAAAGTCTGGTGTTATTGAGTAGGTTTTCTTATACATATATATATAAAATAACTGCAATATTTACGAAAGCAATGCAATAAATAGTATGTTTTTGTTTGCTAAGAGTATTTAGCTGAAGAACGGAATTGTTAGTAGCAGTTACTGCCATACTAATTAGACTTATCACTGGGTTTGTACTAACACGATCAACACGACGGTTGTTATATGGGGAGCAAGATCTGTTTATCCTTCCGGAACACATGATAACACCCCCAGTTTTTCGTGTGGATCGTGTTGCTCAGTCTTTAATTTTCTATGTTGTGTTTTGTGTACTGTTGTCTGTCTGTTGGTCTTGATTAAATATATACAGTACGTACGTCATCATTGATGGTGGCTTTAGAAGACGATTCACACGAAAAACAAATTTTTGGGCAGTCTTGATTTTGTTTTTATATCTGGTTTTATTCAACATTGTATATAATATTTTCCTTTTGTTTTCAGAAATGACTCTTTCTATCAATATATTTTTTGCAATGATCAGTTTCAGAAACTCCATGTGATGATAAACCTTGTAACAATGGTGGAACTTGCATTGAAGTGGGAAAATCGTTTAACTGTCTTTGTCCTTTTGGTTACAGTGGCAGTAAGTGTGAAGGTACGGTGATCTTTCAAAACAATTCTGTTTGGTTATTCCAGAGAAAAGTCTCAGTGAGGTTAGGAAGGTAATACATTTTAGTGACCTTTTTTTACCATTTTGCATACCATGAATATCAGAAAGAAGTAACACTTAGTTTCACGTTTTCTAAAAACTAAATAGTCAAGATAAACCTTTATCATAAAAGCTTTACACTTAACTTTTTGAAATCAACTATCAATATATAGAAAAAACAATCCAATTTTAATTTGTGCAGTCCTGCCATTAGACGTAACAACTATTCACATTGTTAATGAAGTGAACAATCAGCACCCAGTAACATTACTAAGTTTACAAAGGAATAACAGGATTTAGACGTTATAATGTCAAGTCTTAATAAGTAAATATATATTCCATTATGAAGTGCTTCTTTCGCTTTGTAAACAACACCGTGATAAAATTCTCGATATATCTATAAGTGCAGACTCAGAGATGTGCATATTGGTGGCTGTTACTATTTACCTCCCACGTAAATACACATGTATCGTAACCTATGTGCAAACACTGTGTCGATTTCGTTGTGTCCAAATTAAAATTGAAAAAGAAACTACAGAACCGTGATTCCTATTATATTGCATAACAAAAACAATTAATGCACAAGAGCTTAAAAAACGTATACAATCAAAATAAAATAAAATTCCGCCAAATTTCATGAATGATCTTGGCGCATTAACGTCACTGGGCCGTGATATTCGTTAATTTTATCCCTCGCTTACACTCAGGATAAAATTCGAATATCACGGCCCAGACCATGTGTAAATGTCCAACAAATCTATGGCTTCCATGAATTATTTCTTAAATATTTTTAAGTAGCTGTCTGTGTTTATTTTTAAAAATAACAGAAACTAGAAAAAATATCTAAAGATAATAACTATGATCTCACAGCAAACGTTGTTTTACAGATTCCCCATGTTCTTCTGAACCTTGTTTTAATTATGGATTATGCACAGTAAATGGAACATCATACCTTTGTTCTTGTGAGGATGGTTATAATGGAACACAATGTGAAGGTACAAAATGAATACTCGAAAAAAAAAACATTGCGTTTCAGAGTTTGCCTTATAGGAAATACATAAATCAGACTTCCATTAGAATACAATTCATTTTAAAATTCAAACTAAATAACCTACAAAGACCATTTGTTTAAGATAATGATTATTAAATAACAGGTGTTCTGAATTGATGACTTTATTCAATATATGAATACAGAGCATTAAAAAAGAGGAAATTGCATGGACATTACACGGAGCGTGTATAAATAAGTATGAATAACTTTCATTTACTATTCGTAAAAAGTAGAATTGTAACGGCCACTTTGATTTATAGATTTGATAAATTATAATCTATGAAGCCACTCAACCTATCAAAACGAAATTATTGTCATTAAATTCGTTCATAATCTGAATGTTAAACATAAGATGTATTTTTCTTTTATCTAGAATCCCTAGCGGTTCTTTATACATTGTATGTTTGTTTACTTATTTAATAACCCCTATTTGTCACATTTAGATACAACTATTTCCAAAAAGAAGGCATGGGCCATTTTAAGGGTGTAACATGGTAAAGTATACCATAGAGATTTAATGGTTCATTCATTCAAAATTTGTGCGAATGAAAATATGAATTATGTTTTTAAAATCCATTTGATCTGATGAAATATGTTTTTTTATAGATTAAAGTCCATTAATCTCTCATTCAGAACACATTTGTTGACATTTGGAACTCCTGTTACTCATTTAACTGTCATTATCATTCGTGATTTTTTTATTTTTGTTCTGATAACATTACCCAAACTGTGATAACATTTATTTACATTTTTACCATGTATCACCTCTACCTAGTTAAATTCTCTACTTAAATATTCATCTTTGTAACTTCAAATTCGCGCACACTTTATAAAAATATGTATTCTTATTTTATCGAAAAATAATTGCAAGAACTTAATAGATGAAAATGTGCTCGGCTTAAAATCGGCATACATTCGATGACGCAGTTGTGTGATTTTTCAGTAACACCGTGCTTTGGTGATCCTTGCTTAAACGGAGGAACTTGTACAGTCAGCGGATCTTCCTACTTGTGTTCATGTTTACCAGGCCTTACTGGAATAACATGTGAAGGTAAGTATTTATTAGATAAAAGTTATTGTTATAATGGTAAACATAATACTGCTAACTGTCCACTACGGAATGGCAATGTTCAAAATGACATATCTTAATGTTCCATTTGACATATGTCACAGATAGTGCTGAATTGTGTGCCATTTGAATTAGTTTAAAATGAGTGCGACATCTCTCATTCATATTTTGCAACAATATATGATCAATAGGCGAGTTTTTATATCTCATGAAAAACACTGCTTATTTGAGATGAAAATTAGTAAAAAAAGCATTATTATGGATAATGTCCAATAATTACTTCTTTGTAGTAAAGTAGTACATCATATTTTCTCCTTCAATAGCAATGTATTCTGCAAGTGTGCGCATTATAAATATGTAGGCATGTGTCTGCAACTCTGTGTTTGCGCGAACTTTTCTTGTTCAATGATCTCCTTTGTCATGTGCCTTCTGTGTACAATGTGTTGTGGCTCCTTTATGAAAGTCCTGATTCCCCTTGTATGTTTATGCGTTCATACTTTGTAAAGAAGTTCATTTGCAAAAGGGGCTCTGCTAAAAGGTTGTGCTTACATTTTTACAATTGTTGAGAAAAACAACAAAACAACAAAACATAATGCCTGATGAAAATGTGTTATTCTCTAATATCAATACTGTTCTTTTTCTTCAAATATTTTAACAACAACACCTTGTGCAAACAACTCATCTGAGATCGTTTGAGATATTTTGTATGACTGATTGCCATTTGTTGCTGATAATTTTATACCGTCACTTTGATCCAATCATTTTCAATGAGATGTTGTATTTGATAGAAGGCTCTCATACTTCGTTCGACATCATGCGTAGTTGACATTTTGTTGCGACCATTTTATTTGGTGTTATTTGACTTTTACCATATTTTGACTAACGTACCACAATGACACAATGTGACACTCAATTCAATTCGTCATTTATACACAGTGGGGGTATTTGGCTACGGCGTAGCAATCATGTGTTACGTTATTTCTCTTCATAAAGACAACGTCTGAGAGATATTGGAGAACAAGAGAATGCATTTATATTTATATTTGTAAATACGGATTGATAAAAATGAAGAACTAATCCATAACAATGTGAATGCATCCTTTCCTTTACACACACAGTCATAAACTGACTTTAAGAAAGAAACGGGGAAATTCAAAACCACATTTGAATGAAAGCAATCAAGAGTGACTTCCCTTTTGATCAATCTTAAATAAATTGAAAATATTTGAAAACAAAACTGTTGAATATACTTTATTTTTGAACACTTACCAAATGCATTAATGGTCTTTATTTTGTTGCATGTTTCTTCTCAGACAACTTACCATAGATATTCTTTTCTTATCCAGAGGACCTCCCATTTTGTTGTAACTGTGGAATGGGGAATGACTGTGCTGACAACAGAACATGTCCTAGTGGAATATACGAACTACATTTAACAAATATTTCTGAAGTATATTGTGACATGGAAGTAGACAACGGTGGTTGGATTGTAAGTTGCACAAACTATTGCTAGATTGATTAAAATGTGTTGCAAACTTTAATCGATAAAAGTTTTTTGAAGTTTTTCTTTCCTAAAGTTAAATTATTTTAGATAGACAATATAATTATATCAAAATGAAAAATATTGTCTCAGAAAAATATTGTAATCGTATTGACTAAAAAATAGAAATATGGAGATGTAATTTGATTTTCAATGACACTAATATCCACCAAAGACCAAAGGACAAGCAAGCTTTGTGTTCCCAATAGACGGCCTATTGACCAAGATGCAGTAATGTGTCGTGTGAGGAATACCCGAATATATAATATAATACAACCATTGTTCTGGTAGGGGATAAATGCCTCAAGCTATATTTTAGTTGCACGTAAAGGGTAGGTTTTGCTAACACCAAATGTTTCCTCCCATTTAATTTTTCTCACATTTACACCATTGAAAGGGTAAGGGTCTATGCATCATCTGCCAAAGTCTTGTTAAAATTCACCGTTGCATTTATGTTAATGGTATATTGAATATGACCAATTTCGGGGTGTCATAAAAAAACCGGCGAAAACACTAGTAGGCATATAATTTTGTGTGTTTTTGTACATGTTCGCATTAGAAATACCCATTAATGTTGAAATGTGTAGTAGAAACATATTTTAAAATAAATCAGAAATGTCATGGTAATATTTGTAGCCTTAATGTAAATAAATGGTTTAAAAATAAAACGAAATTTCTGGCCAGTTCAGATAACAAATTTTTTATTTTTCAAATTTTGGCAGAAAAACTATCGTTAAAAGCCTTGAAAAAAAGTTGCAGAAACAATTATTATCTATTAACCTTGAAAATCATAAACTTTTATTAAATTTGATCTTTTGAAATTTACAAAATTGTCAAACAATTTGGCTAACAAACATTAGAAAAAAAGAACAGTTTTGGACAAAACTCTCTTTTTCTACAATCTCTGTTTGTATTATTGTGTGTGTTTAACTGAACATCGTATGGTCCCGACAATATCTGTCGTGAAGTTTATAAGGAAAATCAATAATATTCAGTATGGGACGATTACCCTCGGGAAGAATTAACAAACTGCTATAAAATGCATAATGTTAGTTTTCCTCCACAGGATTTCTAAATGCCACTGTCATCGGACGGCAGATACTAAATTGAATAAATTTAATAAATTGACAGTCTGTCACTATCTGAGCAATATCTTGTGCTAATGTAGGCTATCTGTTAGCATTGTACTCGGATTGATGTTCAGATCATATCGTCTAGAATATTGCCTTATGTACTCAAAAACCCAAGAGATAGAGTTAAGTACAACCTATTTACCAATAACTTAGTACCTATTAACTTTTTTATTCAATCAATCTTGTTTTAGATTCAAGATTTCCCTATAATATCATTTCAAGATTTGATTTCAATGATGTCAAAAATTACAGCTTGGTAAAAAAGCACAAATGACTTCCAAAACCTTTGTAACAGTTGTCTGCTTACCCTTCCGGAGCACCTGAGATCACCCCCAGTTTTTGGTGGGGTTCGTGTTGCTTAGTCTTTGGTTTTCTATGTTGTGTCATCTGTACTATTATTTGTCTGTTTGTCTTTTTATTTTTGGCCATGGCGTTGTCAGTTTGTTTTCGATCTATGAGTTTGACTGTCCCTCTGGTATCTTTCGTTCCTCTTTTGTCTCTAATACGCCATGTCTACCCCCATAAATATCCGTTATTCATCCCGACAAAAAACGTTTCAACGCTATTTTCTTAAAAAAAATCGTTTTCTCAGTCTTAAGTATGTAACTAGACATAATGTATCGGCATTTAAAATTCACCCTTAATCTAAAAAGGAACTTACATAACAAATTGTGTCATCTGAATACACATGTGTAATCTAACAAAGACAAAAATTGACCTAACACCTATTTCTAAATTGTCAGACATAAAAACTGACTTATTCTATCAGCTTTTCGTGGGTTCTAATTAGCCATCGAGATGACCTCCGAAGACTTCCGATAGTCATATAACCCGATATAACTATAGATAGAAATAGAAAGGGACCACGTGCAATTAGACTTTTCTAGATCTGTTTGATGTTATGTTATAAGTTCATAAAACATGTGAATCATCGTTTTTACCTGTAAAAGAATGATTTTGTGTTGGTCGAATCAGTCATCGAAATGATTCCCCTTGTTTCATTTTCAATGTTCACATTCTATTACTTTTAAAAGTTGAATACTCTTGGACATGCGTAAAACATCTCCAGCTAAGGAGTTAAATTGAAGTTCACATGATCATAATGATGTTGAATTATTGACTAGCAGGTCAACAATACATCATCGATGTTTTTGAGCCTATTATGACAAATTTGGGGCACACTGACTGCTTATATCAAAATGTGATTTTGAAATTCCGCTTTAATCAATACTTGAAACAAAAAGAATCGTAATTAAAAGTTTTTGTAGGTATTGGCTCTTTAAGTACTAGTTAAAAATAAATAATTTTGAAACAAAGTCATCAGATAATTTGGGTAAAAATGGACTTTAAAGGTTGATTTGATCCGTTTTTGATCAGCTTATTTAAAAAAAATTTCAATCTTGAAATTTATGAAGACACATTACAAATAAGAATGATACTTAATGTGGCTTATCTGTTTAACAGTCTACGTTTCGTAACGGATGATTCGAAAAGCAAGCAAGCGTTTTTCACGGAAGAAATAATTGCGTCGAGGGGTATTTCGGAAATAACTTCAATTTATCAATACATGGGCGTGTCAGAGAGTACATTTCTTTGTCATAAAGCAGTATGAAACTATAAACAACTGGCATACAAGTAAATGTTTAGCTAGCTAATAAACAGGTTTCATACCACATCTTCTATTTTATATTACCCACCCTTTTTTTGACAATGTATGTACCAAGTCAGGGATCAGTTGCGATTCCGAGAGGAGCGAGACTTACAAATTTCGAAATGATTGTATGCTATAAAATCTTAGGAGACGTACGCCATCTACGCTTGCTAGGGCGATTATATTTGCATGATTGTTTTTGTTGTTTCCATAACGTTAAGTGGCGAATGTTGTATGCATTTTCAGACGATATATGTTCCTAAAATACCAATTATACTTTATACAAGACCGACACATATTTCTGTTTGCAAAATTGTAAGCCTAGTATCTATGATGAGTTAGTTTATCTTTTTTTGTGTGTGATTGTCTTCCAATCAACCCCTAAGATTTTAAAACAATTAGTGTTGTAAACATGTAATAGCTATCCAAATGAGCATCAATTGGGCTGCATTTTGCATAGTCCCTCGGATTTTCATAAATCATAGAAAATAGGTAGTGGTGGTGATGAAAAAGTAATACACCGTGACATTATTACATGGGACCCCTGATGGGTGTATTCCTCATTGAAATACATTTTCTCAATATAAATCTAGCCTTTACTAGAAGAATACTAGAATAACACTTGATTAAGTGTTGTAACTGGCAGCAGGGACCAATACTTCATGATCCTCAAGGATCTTCCTTCTTTGCTGACTTGTAACTCCTGTTAATTGTCCTCCTTTCCAATTGTATAGAAGGTGAATACAATTAATTGTTTTGGCACGACGAAAAGGGGTCGTACAAAGAGACCTCACAAGTAATGTCACGTTTGGTCATTTTGAAACTTCCCTTGGTCATGTTGGTACTTCAAACATTGAATTAGTTTTTTTAATGATTTACAATGCCTGTGTTGCAGTCTACGTGTCTGACTGGCTGATCTCCTTATGGATATTGTTGATATAGGTCTGGTTAATTAAAAACTACAACGAATGGAATTATCATTAACAGATCAACATCTCACTTGAACAAATGTGAATGACTTGGTTTTGTCTAAATAAATTCAAAATATCTCCAAATCATGCACAGTATCTTCTCTAAAGGGCCACAAACCGTCAAAATGACATAACACTGATAAATATCTAAATTAAACACAGCAGACGAAAACCTTTTCAGACAGGAAGTAAGTGAACGTAAATGTTGCTGGTTCATGGGTGAATGAAGAAAAATATAGTCTTTCTACTATTCATTCCTTATTATTGAAAATGTAATAATCTGTATTTTCATACAAAGACAGCCTATGGTACAGAAATGATTTCCATTGGGATAATGACTTTGAATGTTTCTCAGTCACATGACAACTGTTGTCATATAAGACAGAGTTATCTTTCTTTGGTAGAGTTTTTTCCTATGTCATGTTTACTCCAAAATAAAACAAAAATTACTAAAAACCAGTACTAGGCCACACATTCAACTTAACCTTTTTATGGTGAATAATTAAACTTTAGACCGCATTTATTGAATACAAGTATCATTTTCAGCGTCTTTTTCTACATATATGATATATAGATCGTTCACTATGTCAGCAGTTTTGACAGACACAGATTTGGTTTCAAGTAATATGTATCTTTATTTTTAAAGGTAATTCAGAGACGACTCAACGGAGAAGTAGATTTTTATAGAGGTTGGAACTCTTACAAGTATGGCTTTGGTGACCTTGATGGCGAGTTTTTGTTAGGTAATAACCTTTTAGTTATTAGTGCCAGCTAAAATCGAACCAAGGCTGAAGGACGATTATCAACACTGTTCCTTACAGAACAGAAAGAATTCTTTGATTGCAATTGTATATGTCCACTAACATTAATCCATTTGCATTCTGTCGGAACTTATACACGTTTACTATAACATAAACAAGACGAAGAGAATGCGTCAATGATTCTTACATCTTAAAAAGAACTACAACCCGAACGGACAATCTATATAACTCACATTTCATTTTTTTTTTAACATAATATTTTTTTATCTATTTAATAAAGAATATCATGTGTACAGTTTTACAAAAACCAATCAAGTGTACTAAGCCTAACATGAAGTTTGCTAGACGCGTTTTTAATCTCTGTGAGACTCCGCACTTGCGCTATAATGAGAACATCATTATGACCAAATCAATTTCGAATCTGAAGAGCACTAAAAACCAAAAAGTAAAAAAAAATGGTGCCTAAACTGGCTCTGTTCTGAGTTAGAAACTCCGTAGGGTGTTGATTGAGTTTTAACATTTGATAAACAGTAAATTTACAGAAAAAGAAAGCGTCTATATAGCTTCGATGACAAGACATTTTGTCGCAAAGACTTACTGTGGATAAATTCTACAGACGAAATTTAAACAACGTTAAAAAGCAACAGATGTAAAACATCCGCATCTTCCGAAATCTTTAATGTTGAAGCGAACAACATTATGCCTCATTTAAGTAAAATGTAGACACCAATTAGAAATAAAGCAGATGTGTATCTACAAAAAGTCGACAACATACGATTTATTCAAAACTTCGCTTAGCATGCAATGAAATATTAAGACTTTATTATACAATCTATAGGAAACAAATTCTAGTATAAAATAGCAATAAATTATGAAAATGTTTTATACTGATAAAAGATTTAATATTTTTGTACATTTTGGGATGAGTAAAAGAGTTGACAGTAGCATGTCTTGTACACGAATGGGTTGATGGTAAACGCTTTGACGTCCCTATAATAACATTAGACGGTATACAATGCGTTTTATGACAAGTCATGTCTCTTTAGTGATCGTCGAGGCACAAAAATGTGTAATTAGAAAGCTGAATAGATACAACATTTGAATGGTTGATTAATCAGGAAAAACACCAAAAAAGTTAACCCGAACAAAGGATCAGACCTATGACGATACATTCCTGAAAATCAAAAGATTTTCAATGGTTTATCACTGTTAATTTCATAAAAGAAAAAAAATATTTGCATTTTCATCTGCAACAAAAGAAGCATTTGATTTGTATCATAACATCGTTTAAATTTCGTGTAAAATTCAGTTTTCCGTTTGGGTATTGTTATGCGTTTACTTTTCTACATTGGCTAGAGATATAGGGGGAGGATTGAGATCTCATAAACATGTTTAATCCCGCCGCATTTTTGCGCCTGTCCCAAGTCAGGAGCCTCTAGCCTTAGTTAGTCTTGTATTATTTTTAATTTTAATTTCTTGTGTACAATTTGGAGTTTAGTATGGCGTTCATTATCACTGAACTGGTATATATATTTGTTTTGGGGACAGCTGAAGGACGCCTCCGGGTGCGGGAATTTCTCTCTGCATTGAAGACCTGTTGGTGACCTTCTGCTGTTGTCTGTTCTATGGTCGGGTTGTTGTCTCTTTGACACATTCCCCATTTCCCCATTTCCATTCTCAATTTTATTCTATTCATAATTTATATTATGCATTGTTCCATTGTCAAGGGGATTACCTACACTGATTCGACGTAACAATTGTCTTTAAAATACTAGTACCGCGCTATTGATGACCATATCTTAGCTACCAATCAAAATTATGGAATTAATATGAAACAGCTTTGTAATCAAAATATTATAGTGTTATTAACTGGCTGTTTCTGTATTGACCCTGTTATAGATTAGAGGTTAGCTGTATTGGACCCGAGACTCGAAAAGTCGAGGGCCAATACAGCTGATCGAGAACATATAACAGGGCCAATACAGAAACAGCCAGTTCATAACACTTTTATTAAATGACTTTAATTATTTGATTAAAATAAGAAACTTACCGCGAAGAAGATACAGAAATTCATATCTGGACTTGTTTTTTTGCAGTCACGATGGATTTGTTCTCAACATTGATGTAACTCATGATTTCTCGTCCAAGTACTCAATCTTATGCTATTACAATTCATTTTATCTAGCAAATATAAAGTAGCTTGGAAGAATAAATTAGACAGTTTAACCATTGAATCGTCTGCGTTCTGATGATGATTGATCAACGGAAATGAAACAGTGATAATAATCGAAAGTTTTACTCGAAAAGGCTGTGAAATATTTCCGTTTCAAGACGTTACAAAACACGGAACATCATTTAAACTTTTTTTATGTTATTTTAAGTTACAAATGTATTTTATGCATGCAGAACGATACGTCTAAAGTTAAGTAAGCTTAGGCGTAAGACAATAGAAACCGCAAGAGAACGTCTGGTATTAGCATATGGGCCAATACGGCTATTTCCGTTTTGGACCGGTCCGAAAAGCAATATAAACTCTTGATTTATATGGACAGGGCAACGTCATCAGTATTGCTGATTTATCCGTATTAGGGCTGATTTCCTCATATCATTTAATAATAAGATATACGTTATTTCGGTTATGCTGTTGTTTAGAAAAATACCGCTAACACTTTATATATGTTATGCGTTATTAGGACTTCATGTTTAAAATTATAGGGAACGAACTAATACATGAAATAACAAAAGAAGGAAGCTACATGTTGAGGATAGATTTAGAAGATTTTGAAGGGGAGATACGTAACGCATTATATAGCAACTTTTCAGTTGAGGATGCAAATTCCGAATACACATTACGGGCGTCTGTTTATTCAGGGAATGCAGGTAAATGATTAACTGTCTTAGAACGTCTTAACACGCAATTTCAATTACGTAGATTGTCACTGTAAGATAAACCTATTCAGGGAAGTATCTTTTTCGAATTCATTCGGAAATGTGTTTTAATTTTAATGACAATGAATAAGATTCATACGATTAAAATACATACGTTCACATAAAAGAATGCATAAGATGTCGAGAAGGTAAATGTTCTCTGGGCTCAAAATTAAGTTAGAGTTGAAATTTCAGTACATAAACTACAGTCCCAAAAATTGGTAAACGACAAAAATGTGAATTATTTTTGGGAATATAAACATTTCTAATTATAAGGAGTCCGTCTATAAAACACAATGTAATAAAAGAGAACATGTGGGTGTTAATTCAGACATTTTACATTTTTAATTTAATGTATTTTATACGTAGAATGACGTATTGTTCAAGGGATATTTCGATAAATTCAAACAGAGCCAATTTCAATTGTACAAAACTATTTTTTTTGCCTCATTAAGTTTGAATGACAAATGAAACTGCATTCATTATATCCTACACTGAAAAGGCATGTTAAATTGGTAATTAAAATGATAAGAACAAATTTTGTTCAGAAATATTTTACAGTTCAAGAGGAATTGGTTGATGTGTCCATAAAAAAGGGAGGAAAGATACCTACAGAGCATTAAAAAATCAAAGTCCATTAAAAAGATACCTTTGCTTAATTAACAGAAAAAAAATGAATAGCTAAATTAGCATCTTTAAGAAGTGCAATCTTCATCAAAAGTCTGTGAAAAGTAGTAAATGTTTGTCAATATATAACTATAAATGCATTTCTTGTTTGTCAAATAAAGTATAATAAAATGAATTATAAAAGAAAGAGCGTTGTAAAACCGGTATTACTATAAAGTAAAATTTATTGCAATTACTTAGAGTACGTCGTTTGTACAGTTTATGTTTTGTTTTGAAAAATGGAATGAATTAGCGAGGCATCGATTAAAACTTTAACAAACTTTCGAACATAAAAAACATTGTCCATATGGAAGATCACCAACAAAGATTTACGTAACAAATACTTTACTGGAGAAGATGGTTGTCATTATTGTATGTCATGTTGCTTTTTGAACGTTATTTGGAGAATAATTCACGTTTAATTAAAAAAAAGTAAAAATATGAAAATCTATTACATTTAAAGATCTTGGTTTGGCTATATCAAATCAGTAACAAAAATCTTAACTATCTCAAACAAGAATTACCGGTACCAATTGAACTGCACAAGACGCTCATTTTGAAAATTCAGGACTCTTCAGTTATTCTCGAGGCCAAATATTTTAAGTCCAAAGCATAATAGTAGCGTTTAATAGGTTATAAATTAAATCGGACCAAACGTAAAACCAATTCCAGACAGGAAATCAGAGGTATACATGAGGAAGATACATTCAATTAAAGTGTTTTAATCTTCGTTTACAATTTCTGCACTGTTTATCAAATGAGTGACCACGGAAATCGATCAGATATTTTGTTTCTTATGTTATACAATCGTATGTTTATTCAGCATTTAAGACTCGTTTTGTGAAAACAAACAAAAGGAGTTCAAAATAGGGAATTAGTATGCACCTTTATGATATAATCAAATACAAGTTTGCCTAAAATTATATAATGCTCTTTCCTTATACATGTTATATTCAACGAAAAGCTCTGAGAGCAACGATATTGAAAGAAAAAAAAAAGGTACCGAAAGGGATTTATAAAGTCTAAAAACAGAAGTTGAATGATGTTTGATATATTCCATAGATTTGTTATTAATTCATTTTTCTAATTGTATAAACATCCGTATTTGAATGACAGTACCAAAGTGCTGTATACTGGGCTAATTATCTAACAGTCTACCAGCAGAGGTATCGATCCAATGGTTGTAATGACATAAATAAAGGCAACAGTAGTATAACGGTGTTCAAAAGTTGGTACCAAAAAGGAAAAGTAACAAAAATACCAAACTCCTGATCGTCATGTTTTCAAATCAGATAAAATAGCATTAAAATATATATTAAAATAGATTACCTGTATACTGCCATCTTTGATTGTAAAAAGCAGTTCGTTGTTTAAATCTGCAAGTTTTGAGATAAAAAGGAAAATGAATGACAAAAGGACAAACTGTATTATTTAGACTGTTTGTACAAATACCAAATATTTGTGTTTGTTTGATTTAATTTTTCAACTAAACCATTTTAAGGGGAGATCACTGTTTTAGTAAAATATTTCATTCAAGAATGTTAATGAAATTTCTTTTTTACTTGTAGCAAGAAAATAAGTTTTGTGTCACCATTTTTGTTCTTTTTATTTTCTAAATTATGAGGTAATGAAATCAATCTTCTCATCTTTTACTTCATCATTATATAATTCTTTCTATTCAAATGTATTTTTTTAAGGAATAGACTATTCAAAATTGATTCATTTTGAACAACTTGTAGCTTGAAAAAATAGAAAGGTGACCCATATGTTTTAATTTACATTTGAAACAAGCATGGTTTAATCTACATTTTGGCAAATATAAGAAAATTCTATCTTAGAAAATATTGAGTGATGATTCACCTTAAATACGTTTAACGTATGATACAACTTCCGAATGCTCATTATGAAATCAACAATTTACAAATTATTTTTTTTCTTTAATAACTTTCAAACGATGTATCATTTTGCAATACTGATAAAATAGTATATACTTAATCATTTCAACTTCAGGAGATGCAATGGCGTACCAGAATAATATGCAATTCTCAACAAAGGACAGAAATAACCTCAATTGCGCTACATTGTATAAAGGAGGATGGTGGTATAACAATTGTCACCGTAGTAACCTGAATGGTCTGTATCTTAACGGTACGCATTCTAGTTTTGCAGATGGGATCGAATGGTACGAATGGAAGGGATATAACTACTCTTTGAAGAAATCAAGTATGATGATCCGCAGAAAATAGTCATCAAGAATAAGACTAAGACTACAAGCAAACATAATTTTATTTCATACTGTCATTCTAGCTGCCGTATCCGATTCAGAATAGACTATTGATGTGATAAGACATGTGATAAATATTGTTGGTTATATAGTGTTTAGACTTTCAAAATGTTTTAAATTGTTGTAGTGTTGAAATACTGTGTTACGGCCAGAAATCACCTTTAAATTGTAGCCAACAAAAGACACAAATCAATAATAAAATTTAACAAGATTTATTTTACGCAAGTTTACAAGAAGTATTTATCAAATAGAAATGTCAACTTAACTGTCAAAATAGATGTCCGATCTTTTGTCTTTCCTTTATCCGGAATTCTTCTCTTCACTGTTCTGGATTCCAAACAGAATATTAACGTTATGTCCAATAAGTCATTAATGTCTATGTCTTAACGTATAACTTTAGTGTCTGTATATATATATATATATATATATAGTTGTCACGGCAATCTCTAGAATACCGTAGAAGTGAAACTCCTAGAAAACCAGAGAACGGAAACTTCTAGAACAATATAAGAAGTTTAAATTACGCATCTTTTATTATGATCATTCTGGAATCGTTATGTAAGTAAAATAGAAAGTTCTAATCATTCCGTGATATCCATGACTATTCCAGTGATTTCTAAACTGCACATTTGTAAACAACTATGATGTAAACATATTATAAGGCCACACAAAACAAATAAGGCCAACTAAATAAAAATAAATATGTTTGTTACAATATCATAACAACTATTATATGTATGTAGGGTTGTGGGCCCAAAATATACCATCAGATACGAATATCAGTTCACATGTTCTTTATTTGGGTTAATACCATAATTTGAACGATTATTAGGGACGACCATTCAATTCTGGGGTTGGTGGGAGGGTCAGGACGATTGTTTTGGATTGATCATTCATTTTCATCTGTTGCTTTGCCACGCATATGCTTATTTGTTTTTCTGCAGCTTCCCCACACTAAAAAATATTTTCATTTTTGTACACATTTGTATCCTCATCACTAGTCCAAATAATTATTATTTTAATCATCCTCGTAGGATGGCGTCAGAGCAAAAAAGATAAAAATCATCTTTCAAGACGTCATAATTATTTGGACTCCGACCCCCCCCCCCCCCCCCCCCCCCAGGTAAATCAAATGGTCCTCCCCTGATCTCTGTCTTACCTGATTTTTTATAAAAATTCAGGTTACCCCCATGCAAGAGAAAAAATATCTAGTCCAAATTATTATGAAAAGCAATTTTTTGTAACAGAAGATAATGTCCGAATATGCAGATATGCAATCCGCTAAAAATTCTACTGCCACCTAGGTCTCCTATCATACCAGGAACAATAAAGAAAGGGTTACGAAATTGGAACCCGTAAAGAGTCATATTTTCCCCCTCATTTTCAGTGAAAACAAGCCGGGTTTATTTTTCTCTTATCATGAATGTTTTTTACTGCAGTTTTTGTAATTTTCAATGTCTTGACTTACACTTCTAATCTATGATGAGTTTTGTTTGTTTGTCATACACATTGTTTTGTCTGTTTTGAAGGCTGCACTGTTGGCCGCCTCGAGGGAAATGATGGGTTTTTTCTTATTATTGACTTGTGAAGGCCATACGGTGACAGATATTTGCCGCATTGGCGGTCATACACCATCTCCTTATTTTTCCATGTAGTCTAATTGCTACCTTTTTTTCTATGATATTATCTGTTCTGTAAATATGGGAAAAAAAAAGATAAAAGCATATACATAAATGAGATTGATAAACATCTGCAACACCTTCCATCCCATGAAGCTACCACTGATGATACGCTAAAGTGTGTCATGGGAATTTTGCATAAAGCTACCAAACTAGCAGTACCTTCAAAAATTATCAAGTTAAATGGACCAAAAAGAAAAGCTTCTCCTGATGTTAAAAGTCTGATTGGAGTCTTTTGGACTTTGGAATGATGCAGAAAGACCACTAGATGACCACCCTCTCTTGAAAGAAAAAAACGGAAGCTAAAAGAAATCTCAGAAAGCAACAGAGAACAGAAACTGCATTAGAAATAGAACAATTCATTCAAAAACTTGAAGAAAATCCTAATGACCAAATATTCTACCAACTTATTCGAAGAAATAGATCTGAAACGTTAAAATCGAACACTGATTTTCTGAAAATGGGAGAGGAAGAAGCTGTATCCAAAAACGAACAATGTGAATTACTAGCAAAATACTTTGAAGATTTGGCCCAACCAAAAGACAACGTGAATTTTAACAACGAAAAACTTCTGAACTGTAATAAAAGATGTAAAATCATAAAAGAAATCACAAAAGCTTCAACCAACTCAGAAGTTACCATAACAAGGGAAGACATCGAGAAAGCTATAAACCAACTCAAAACTAAGAAAGCAGCAGATGAATATGACTAAGCCGCAGAACAATTGAAACACTCCTGGGACAGCATACTAGAAACTTTCAATCAAATTCTATTAGAGGAAAAAGTACCATCAATGTTTAAAACTGGGACAGTATCACCAATTCTGAAGAAAGGAAAAACATTCTATGAAGTAGAAAACTACCGTGGTATAACAGTTATATCAGTTATTGGAAAAGTATTTGAATATATCATTTTGGATAAAGCCAACCTTATGAAATCTGGTCAATCTCAATTACAATTTGGTTTTACACAAGGATTATCTCAAACATGGCAGCCCTAATACTAACGGAGGCATGCTCAGAGATCTCAGGAAAGCAAACCATCTTTGTCAAAACACTTGGCATTTGATGTTGAAAGTCACGAAATACTGATAGACAGGCTATATCAATATGGGTTAGATCTGAATTTGTGGAACATTATTGAGGAGCTATACAGCGGTGTAACATCAACAGTAAAGTGGAAAGGAGAAACTACTACTAGCTTTGATATACACCAAGGCGTGTGACAAGGAGGTTTCTTATCTACTCACTTATATAAGGCCTACATAAATGAATTGCTTCTCGATCTGCAAAAACGAAATTTAGGTACTCATATAGGCAACAACTATGTGGGATGTCCTACTTGTGCTGATGACATCGTACTTTTATCCCTGAACAGAGACAAAATGCATGAAATGCTAGACATTGTTGATAACTACTCAAAAGATCATCGATTTAACATCCATCCGCAAAAGAGTAATGTTATAATAATGACAGGAAAAAAACATAAAATCCCAAAGATATCGAGGCTTTCAAAATGGGAAACAACGATTTAACTTGTTCTGACCGTACGACTCATCTAGGAATTACAAGATCAACAAAAGATGAAACCAGAATAAATGTAGAAGACCGCATTAGTTTAGCAAGAAGAAAGTTATATTCTCTCATAAAGACGGTGTACATGGCTCAAATGGTTTAAACCAAAAATCATCATTTAGGATCTATAAAGCATACGTCCTACCAAGACTGCTATACGAGCTTGAAACACTGCATGAGAACTCCAAAGAAATGATGCTTCTATCCAGCTTCCACCTCGATATTTTAAGGAAAATCCAGTCAATTCCTAAAAGGACAGCATGTGCATCGGTATACCTACTTCTGGGAGCTCTTCCGCTTAATGCCGAAATTCACAAAAGACAACTTAGCCTCTTATTTGGTGTTCTCAACAGCAACAATGAAACTATTAGATCCCTAGCTATGCGTCAATATATGTCCGGCAAATCAACAAGCTTCTTTACTAAAACAGCAGAAATTCTAGAGAAATACAACCTACCATTTTTGAAATATTCGAAAAGATGTATACAAAAATAGAGTGGAAAAGAATGACAAAATTAGCAATAATCGAACACTGGACTAGCAACTTACGCTTAGAATGTGAAGAAAAATCAACTCTATGTATTTTAGCAATCTCAAACTTAGGAATAGGAGTCACACATCCTGTTTTGGCTACAGTTTCTTCATTTGTCTCAGACATCAGAAAAGCAATTACAAAAAGCCGCATGTTAACAGGAGCCTATCTATTACAAGATCATAGACACAGGTTTAACCAGGCAGAAGTAGACCCGATTTGTCCAAATTGTAGAACCGAAACGGAAGATCTATGTCATGTGTTAACAACTTGTCCCCTGTATATGAACATCAGGAAAGCATTATATACTCCCATCAAAAACTTTATATTGAGTACTATATCTCAAACAAAATTGACAACTAACTTCAGTAACCGTGATGCAATATGTACGCTTATAGTAGACTGTCAGAACTTTGCAAATTTGTCAATCATACCAAACAACCCAGAAATTCTTGGAAAGATTGAAAACATACTGTCATGAAATTTACAAAAAGAGAATATCCACTGAAATATAACATTCCCCTGGGTTTCACAGCTCCCCATTAAGACGCCAATTACAATATCTACCACCATGTGTCTAAGCAATATATAATATCAATAGTTTAAATAGTAGCTGTCTAATTTTAGTGTGAACTATAGGCTATATGCTATATGCTTAACTAACTGCAGCATTAATATCTGCTTGCTTACTTCTAATATATAATAACTTAAAGCCTCTGCATAGGAATGTGTGTATAGCTAGACTTTTTAAATCTGAGTATGACTAACTTTTAAACCGCAAAAATATATCTTTGACTTTTTAACAGAGATGTCAACATAGCTAGCTATATAGCAATCATCAACCATTAACATGTGCGGAAAGAAGGTTCTTTAAACTTACTTTACTTGGCTTTTATTCGTGAATGATGACTTTTAACACCTAACCTCTATCCAGTTTCCTCAACAAACAGTTAAATCAATGTCGACCATTCATAGATTTTATTAGCTAGACATTGCTTTTAATATCGAATCTACATCTTGGCGAATGTATGAGTGCTTCGTGTATTTTATACATACATTCCTGTAAATAAATTGTGTGCATGTGCAACGTTCCGGTGAAGGATTTCCTTTCAACACTTTAACTTTGGAATAACTTTTATGCAAATACGTTAATTTTTTTTAAACTGATCCGTTAAGG